CTGAGACAGGAGGAGGAACATCTGAGGGACATCTGAGACAGGAGGAGGGACATCTGAGGGACATCTGAGACAGGAGGAGGGACATCTGAGACAGGAGGAGGAACATCTGAGACAGGAGGAGGGACATCTGAGACAGGAGGAGGGACATCTGAGACAGGAGGCAGAACATCTGAGACAGGAGGAGGAACATCTGAGACAGGAGGAGGACCATCTGAGACAGGAGGAGGGACATCTGAGGCAGGAGGAGGAGCATCTGAGACAGGAGGAGGGACATCTGAGACAGGAGGAGGGACATCTGAGACAGGAGGCAGAACATCTGAGACAGGAGGCAGAACATCTGAGACAGGAGGAGGAACATCTGAGACAGGAGGAGGGACATCTGAGACAGGAGGAGGAGCATCTGAGAAAGGAGGCGGAACATCTGAGACAGGAGGGACTTCTGAGACAGGAGGAGGAACATCTGAGGGACATCTGAGACAGGAGGAGGGACATCTGAGGGACAGCTGAGACAGGAGGAGGGACATCTGAGACAGGAGGAGGAACATCTGAGACAGGAGGAGGGACATCTGAGACAGGAGGCAGAACATCTGAGACAGGAGGAGGAACATCTGAGACAGGAGGAGGACCATCTGAGACAGGAGGAGAAGCATCTGAGATAGGAGGAGGAACATCTGAGACAGGAGGAGGAACAACTGAGACAGGAGGAGGGACATCTGAGACAGGAGGCAGAACATCTGAGACAGGAGGAGGAACATCTGAGACAGGAGGAAGAGCATCTGAGACAGGGGGAGGGACATCTGAGACAGGAGGAGGAACATCTGAGGGACATCTGAGACAGGAGGAGCACCATCTGAGACAGGAGGAGGAACATCTTAGACAGGAGGAGGAACATCTGAGACAGGAGGAATAACATCTGAGACAGGGGGAGGGACATCTGAGACAGGAGGAGCACCATCTGAGACAGGAGGAGCACCATCTTAGACAGGAGGAGGAACATCTGAGACAGGAGGAGGAACATCTTAGACAGGAGGAGGAACATCTGAGACAGGAGGAGGAACATCTGAGACAGGAGGAGGAGCATCTGAGACAGGAGGAGGAGCATCTGAGACAGGAGGAGGAGCATCTGAGACAGGTAACTTCTGAAGATAAAAACAGGAAGTGGACCCAGTGTCACTTCTCCTGCTGGTGTCTGGACTCTATAACCCATAATGCACCTGGTGCGAGGCTCTCTCACCTCCAGCAGCTGCTCCTGGGACGTCAGCGTGTTGATGATCCGGATCCACCTGGACTTGGAGGTCAGCAGGCCCACCTCCAGGCGAGGGTCTCTCCACCACGGCTCCCCGATGTCCATGTCCCAGTCGGAGCGAGGGTCCTCAGGGGGGATGTGCAGGAACCGGCCCCTGGGGGTGCAAAACCTGATGCAGCCGCTCCGGGGGTCCACACACCTCAAGACCTGGGAACGGAGGAGGAGGACTGGTTTTTACTGGTCCTGGATCAAGTTCATCAGCTTTGATTGTCCTGAGCAGGCTCCGCCCACCACCACAGAAGAAGAGCAGAACCCATGAAGAACACGTGAAGAACTGAACCGAATCTGCTCCATGATCCGACTCACATCTCCAGTTGTGGCGTCGAACCAGCAGCTGATGTCCTGACCCGCACACTCCAGGATGGGCAGCAGCAGAAGGTCTCCTGCTGGGACACATGGACCCTGAGCTGAGGACGTCCTGCAGAAGATCCACCAGAGTCCATACATCGCCATGGTAACCAGAGCGACCCTCTGACCTGCAAACATCTGAACTGCTGGGTCAGAACAGAGTCCACTCAGACACAGTCCTGGGAACAGCAGGGGTGTCCAACCCTGTCCTCCAGGACCAGGATCTGGTCTAGTGTCTGTCTGAACATGCAGGTTCTTGGAGGAACCTGGAGTACTCGGAGAACAACACATGACCTCCAAAGACCCTCGACCTTCTTGCTGTGAGTCAACAGGTCTGACCACTGATCCAAGAAGTTTTTGTGTTCCTGTTCAGAACATGAGCCGTTGAGGTTCTGTGAAACTGTCCAGAACCAGCAGGACCTGAGCACAGAACCGGTCCTGGATCCTCTCCTCTGACTTCCTGTCTATTTAAAACTTTATTTTTTTTTAGATTTTGCTGCTTGTTTTGAAAGTTTTAAAGCTCTGGACCCATCAGAACTTCTCAAGTCCAGTCAGAACTCTGGGGTCAACCAGCCGGTTCCCCTGAGATGTTCCAGGGTCCAGACTGAGACGTCTGAGTGGAGGTTCTGAAGCTGAGGGACTCAGTTGCCATGGCAACAACACCCCTCAGTGTTTGTTTATTTTAAAAAGGAGAAACAAACAAAAACACTTTCTGTTGGAACAGACCTGGGTCTGAGCAGGACCGGGTCCAGCAGGTGGTGCTGGTGGTCCAGTCCGACCCGAACCTCGAACACTTTACGGTTAATGACGTCATTAAATAAACTGCTGTTTAATGAAGATGAATTTTTTTTATCAACAGATAGAATCGTTTGATGATCTATTCTGTTCTTTTAGTTCATCTCTGGTTCTGATCGGGTCCAAACGGTCCTGAAGTTCATCTCAAACAGAACTTCAGCTTCAAGAAAACAAATAAACTTTTTATTTTTTTACTCATTAAATCACATTTCAGCTGATCTCCAGAGAACTGAGGGTTTAAATCCTCACCTCGGCTCAGACCCTCCACCCTCAGACCCTCCACCCTCAGACCCTCCACCATCAGACCCTCCACCCTCAAACCCTCCACCCTCAGACCCTCCACCCTCAGACCCTCCACCCTCAAACCCTCCACCCTCAGACCCTCCACCCTCAGACACTCCACCATCAAAACCCCTCAGACCCTCCACCCTCAGACCCTCCACCATCAAAACCCCTCAGACCCTCCACCATCAGAACCCCTCCCTCCTCCTGGGTCTCTGACCTTGGAACCGGCTCACCAGCGGGCTCAGATCCAGGACTTTGCCCAGAAAGGAGACCCAGAGGTCGGCCGCGGTCCGGTGGGCCGCCACCTCGGAGGGGAGGAAGAACCGGGGCCGGTCCATCAGAACCACGGAGCTGACGAGGCTGTAAAATGACAGGAAGCAGAAAACAAAACCCGGTCCGTTGGTATTTTTGTTACTATGGCAACAAGCCGGGAGAGAGGCGGGACTTCCGGTTTGAATAAATTTTATGTAAACAATGATCGATTAACAGAGCTGTAGATTTACTTTAGGTTTGACTTATTATATGTTATAAACAAAATAAACAATTAAAACATAAAGAACGAAACAAATAAATAATATATACATCAAATATTTAAACAAAAAAGAATGATAAAGATGTGAAAGTGATAAATAAACGTCAGAAAAAACATTAAAATGTACCTGTTCTGTCTGAACAAACATGAAATGAATATCTGGGTTTGGAAATTATATTTATCAAAACAAACAGTATTTTTCTTTTTCTTTCAGCTGCTCCTTTCTGCAGAGGTCAACACAGGTCACCAGAGATCCGATCCGCGGGGATCGAACCAGCGACCTTCCAATCACAGGCCCACCTTCTCTGGCCTCTGCCCCCCCACCCCCATTTGATTTGATTGAAGTTGTTTCATAATTTATTCTTTTGTCTATTCAGCAGCTGATGAGATTTAAAGTCTGTTCCTCAGAGTCCTGCTCAGAATCAACAGAAATCAGAACATCTGTATCCAGATGTTTGTAACCACAGAGGGTTTGGATCAGCTGAGACGAGTTCCTTCAGGAGGAAGAGGCAGATGAAGAGCTGACAGATGAGGTCTCAGTCCATCACAGGGACACCTGGACAAGTCTCAGTCCATCACAGGGACACCTGGACAGGTCTCAGTCCATCACA